TGGGGCACCAGTTACTTCAGGTGCCCCATTAAACCCAGCATGTGTTTGTGCAAGGCTGAGAGGACTGGATTCCACCAAAGCACTTTCACCTGATGAGACCCAGCCACATGCAGATAATGACTACTTTTGCTTCTGAATGCAAGATTTAATTTTTTTTTAAGATTTATTTATTTATTTATTTATATACGAACCGGGGTACAGGCCAGATGCACAGGAAGGTGAGAGGATTCACCAGAGACAGAGCGGGGAACAGAACAGGCAGACTGACGAAATACACTGCTGAGGGGAGCAGCGGGCGAGACAGGAGAGGTCTCCTCACCGTGCGGGTTGCTCCGAGGCGGTTGGGGATCCAACCGGCACCGCTGAGGCTGCGGACAGCTTCACAGCGCTGCACTCAACTGCCTGCGCCACCAGGGGAGGCCCAAGATTTAAATTTTAATCTTGTTCATTTCCATAATCTGTCTCATTTTCAAATTTAACATAAAATTTGACATTTTATGTGATAAAAATATGCAAAAGGTGCCTTTATATTTTTGTTATCACCTATAATGTTGCTTGTGTTTCTCTCTCCACCCTTCACCCACACCCTCGGAGTGGATTGGACAGAGGTTTCCCGGGTCCTTCCAAAGAAGAACCAGGTCTTCTGCGGGGTGTGAGACCAACCAGTCCTCAGTTCACCCCAGCCAGGAGAATCCACAAGCACAGAGTAAGATTGCGTTCCAGGCGCTGAAAGGGAGTTTCTTTCAGGAAACTTGGCTTCACTCTCACGGCTAGAGCGTTCTGAGGAAAGGTTCTCTCCAGTTCTGTTAGAGCAGCCTTGAAAAAGGAAAGGGGAGGTATACGTTTATGGAAACCTCGAGCGCCTCTCCCCATCGCTGTGAATTACCTCTGTGTTCAGGAAGCCCAGCTGGACAGCTGCGAGGAAAGGCGTGTGTGTTTGAAGGGGACTTGGAAAGAAAAGGCCCCTTGTACCCTGAGCAGCAACTGTAGCGTGTGACACAGGAGTACTGGAGTACTGGGGAGTCAGGAGCCCCACAACCCCACAGAGGTCCAGGCCAAGATCTCAACTGCAGTGCTCAAAGGAGCCTGAGGGGGCGCCAGAGAGCAGAAGAGTCCAGGCCCACAGAGTAAGCTGCCCAGCCAGGAGGCGTGAGGGTGGAGGAACAAGGTGTGAGAATCCTGAAGGTAGCTGGGCCCAGCCCCACCCCTTCTTTGCGTGGCAAACTCAAACTCATCCTTAAATGACCAACTCAAAAGACATTTCTTGATCATGGACTCGGTGAAATAGATGTGGGTGAGAGACCCGTGGAGAGGATGACACTGGCAACTTTTACCTTGATTTTGATTTTGCTCTTTTCCTTCCAGACTTGTCTGGTTGTTTCTGATCCTTTTCTGTGGGACCCCACCGGAAGTTGCTTTAGAGTTATGGCAGGCTTTTGGACCTTGCTCTGGCCAACACAGGAAAGGCAAAGAATATACTTTCTAAATCAAGCACCCAAAGTTACCAGTCCCCTCGTGGGTAAAAATCCACCCAAACAGGATTGACCCACAATCAAAAGGCAAGCACAGTTTCTTCACGTGTCTCTCTCTGCTCCATGTGTCTCCTCCAGGTCTCCTTCTGGCTCTGCATCCTGCTTCCTTCCTTCCTCAGTCTCCTCTGCAGCTTCTTCTCTCCATGCTCAGCTCCACCCTCCCTTGGGTGGGCAGGAAACTTGGAACTTCCCCCCCACTTCCTCCTTGTCATCCCCACCATTGTGGCCCACAGTGGATTGTCCACAATGGTCCTGACTTCCCCATCCTTGCAGAGTTACAGGACCTGGCCTGGTTCTTCTGGATCCCAGGCAGCACAGTGCCTGGCCCAGCACTCTCTATACTCTCTGTAGGAGGCCTGGAATCATGCAGGGGGTTGTTAAAATGCAGATTCTGGTGTTAACCTGGAGGGTGGCTCTGAATCCTCACATTAAACCATATCCCTCGGTTATTCTTACACACAGCTGACTAGTACAAAAGACAGTGCTTACAAATGCTTCTGACCAAGAATCCAACATACCAGAGTAAGAAATACAGTTTTCATGGCAACCCCGCCCCATGTATGTATATAAAAGTATTGACATAACAAAAATTGCAGCAAACTAAACTTTTCCTTACCTTGTATAAGACACTGTGATACAGTCTAGTCCATTCTGTTCTGTTCCACTCTCTCCTATTCAAACAAGAATCTTGGCTGAATGCCCCTAAAACAGCTCCCTGTCTAATCCTCAGGATGGGTCCTGCAGTTTGAGGGGTAGAAAAATGACCCTCGCATACTCAAGACATGCTCAAGGAATGAATAAATGAAAGACAGAACAAATAAATGAGTACTGCATCTCACTGATTATAAAATTGAGAGACTCTAACGACGACTTCTGAGATATCTTCATTTAAAATCTGAGGCTGCTTGCTCAATTTCCAACAGCTTCCCCAAACCCCAGGGCTCTGGGATTCTTTAGTTAAAAGGATCCCTGCTGCTAGGAGAGTTCAGAGGGTTTTATTTCAATTTATTCATTAACTAAAGACAGTCAGGGCCTTCCCTTCTATTCTCCTCAGGCCTGGGGCCTGACATCCGCAGAGCCCAAAAGGACCAGCAAAGGCAAAGGTAAACCTAGAGTGAAGGGCATTGCTGGTATGGTCTCCTGGTCTTTCCTCGCCCTCTACAAGCACCCAGGGTTGAGGTGGAATATGAAGGAGTCACTGACCGAGCAGGGGAGCTATGGCTGTGGCCAAGGAAATGTGCTATTTGGCCAGGGGAGAGTGTTTGCATTTGAGTATTTGACCATTTGTACCCAGGGGTGGGGGTAATAGTGTCCTCTGGGAGTCCTGTCACAGCACAGCCCAGGGCTACTTGGGAAATTGAGAGCAACAGTAGTGGACTGTTCTTGGTGGTCCATGATAAAACAGTCTGTTAAGTTGCTCTGGAAGACATTTTAAGTGCTACTCTCTTTATCCCACCTCCCCTCCTACCCTACCTCCCACCCCCCCCACCCCCGCCCCAACCACAACCACAGTGCAACCTCTTTTGGAGAGAAATTTGTGATAGTTAAGGATCCTCTGGCCTGGACATGCATACCCACATAGCTACAGCATTTTCAGTTCATTTCAGGAGCTCTATATACAGACTTCAGGATCTGAAGCTTGTTCCAGTCTTCCAGACTCAAAAACCCAGAGACTTCTTAGCCATCCACCTCCTTCCCCTAAAACCACAGCCACAAAAACATCAAGGGGGGGCAGAACACCTTGTTTCCTAGATCACATTCTGAAGACACCTGTTCAAAAAATGTGTTAGGTGTCCCTGCTGCCTACAGGGTCACAGGGGTATAAAAAGAGGCCCAAGGGCTATGTTTGCTGGAAACAACATCAGTGCCTGTTGCCTCATGGGGCCACAGTGTTAAGAGCAGCGCGGGATGGAGGAGAGACAACTCGAAGTCAAAGTAGAGAGAGAGACCTAGAGGGGCTTACACCTCAGAGAGTGTAGCCCCGCTCCAAGGGCAGTCTTGCATATATGGGGGATCACGTTCAGGGAAGGTGGGCAAATACAGGAGGAATGTATGGAGGAAAGTGTGTGGTGGGGATGTGGATTGGGGATATATAATAGTGTGTATGTGGTGGGGATGTGTACTGGGGATGCATGAATGTCTGGCACAGCCTAGGGGGGAGTGAATAGGGGCTGTTGTCTGGGGGGCTCCATTGTTGCTGCTGATTTAAACATCCAATTTCTAGTCCCTGTTTACATTTAACTTTCTGTCAAAGTGGTCTAGCTGGCTGTGCTAATCTGGCCATACAGTCTGCCTGTTGCTTTCAGCAGATACTGGTTTTCCAGTATGTTCTTCACACCAAGACTTTTGTCCTGCTGAGAGGCCCCCTGCCTGACTGCCATTTTAGCTTGAACTCTGGGTACCAAGACAATAGCCTGAAAACAAGGGGGGCTGGGGAATCCACATGTGCCAATGAAGGCAGCTCAATTTTCTGGGAACTTACAATGTTCCAGATATGATACTAACCTCTTTACCTAGAGTATATTATCTAACCCTCCCAGACCGCCATGATGGGGCTGCCATCATGATTCCCCTTTCACAGACGGGAAGTCAAGGCACAGAGAGATTAAGGAATGCACCGAAGGCCACACAGCTAGTGAGCTGTAAGATTCAAACCTTGAGGTATCTGTGGTATCTATCCAGGAGAGTGCATAGGCCACAGTGGGGTGGCGGGGGGTGGGGGGGTCCATCAGTATACTTTTTGGCCACATAGGGATATCTCTGATTTTAATGTCCTGAGCATTCACCCTAATAAAGCCTAATAAAGGCCCTTTAGACTCAGGTGGGAACACATTCTAGACCTAGAGTCTCATATCCTTTCAAAATGAACCTTCCTGGGAACCAGCTCTGGAAGGTGGAGCGGGGTGCCAGGCAGAGCTGGCAACTAGATGAATAAGGAAAGGACACTTTCTTCCTGTACCCCTACCCCTGCTAAATGGACTCAGGAATCTTTGAGCTGATGACTGCAACAAAAACTTCTGGGAACTCCCCTGTTTAAAGCAGGGCTCTGCACAAAGTGGGTGGTAAAGTAGGGGAGATGGGAGTACGGGCTAAATTCCCTATCCTGATCCCCAGGGAGCTCACCTGGGACAAGTGGCACGTGGCATGTCAGGGAAGAACTGCAGGTTCTGCCCAGTGGGTGGAAGGAAAATGACCAGGAGGGATAGGGCCACCTGCAGGAGGACTAAGTGACCTCTCTGGGAGGCTGGGGGTGGAGTGGAGGGAAGGGGGAGGACAGGAAAGGAGGGAGGGAGGCGGGAGCAGAGGGAGTACAGGAAAGACTCAGGCAGTGAGACAGGGCAGCCCCACTGTACTTCCCAGGCTGCTGTCCAGATACAGCAGAAGGTTGAGCGTGTTGCTCTGGCCCCACCTCCCGAAGCACTCTCTGCAGCTGCTGGACAGGACACAAAAGCATGAGACAGAGACACCATCTCTGCTGAGTTTACCAAACTGCCCTTGGAGGCCACTGTGACAGAAGCCAGGGCAGGGGCCCCCCAGACTGCTGCCTGCCTTTCCCAGGTAAGCAACTATTTGTGCTAAATGAGGGGTGTGGAGCAAGGCTGTGGGAAGAGAGAAGGGCAGGAAGGGGCCCTGGGATGGGCTTGGTACAGTCTATGGAGGAAAGAAAGCAGCAGGACAGAGGGGGCTGAGCAAGTCCTGAGGTATCTGCGGTATCTATCCAGGAGAGTGCATAGGCCACAGCAGGGGGGGAGTTCCAGGAGGGGTTGTGCCTTGAGGCATCAGTGCTTGGGGAAAGCAGAGGGGCTACCACACGGTGCAGGAGACCAAGAATATTTCTCCAGACTTGTCAGGAAAACCAACCCTGAACTCGGCTTCCTCTCAGACTTCTTGGTGGTCGAGAGAGAGCCCCTGGCAGCTCCAGGAAGCAGGACATATTCATAGGCGATATGGCCGCAGGCAGAGGAGGGAGACCCCAGCCAAACAGACCATCTGTCAGGCTGCTGAGATGCTAGCCTGCAGAGGGCTGCCCCAGGCGGCTCCTCTGTAGCCCCAGGAGTGGGGAGGAGAGCCGGCTATATATAGAAGGGGGTGCTGTGAGCTGGAGGTGGGGTGGGGGGCAGGTGATGAAAAGTGGTCTGTGAACAGTTCCACATGAATGCAAGCACATGTTGTCTCAGGGAAAAAAAAAAAAAAATACCCCAAAGAAGTCAGTTTCAATAAAATCCAAAGTCCCTTTTCATCCCTGCTGGGGACCACTGTCCCTGAGGGGGCCTGCTGGCCTGACCTGGTTGTAGTCAGGTGGCCAGTGCTGTGTCCTCTCTGTTAACCGCACACATACATCCACTTAGATCCAGCCACACTGGGACCTGACCTGGGGTAAAGTGAGGAGTTTGGGGGCGGAAGTTTGCCAAACTTCATGGCGCACGGGAACATGAGTCAGACACTGAACCCCAGTTACTATGATATCCCTCCATCTAGTACCTCTGTACCCAAGTAGAAAATGAGGCTCCTTCCCAGGGCTCCCCCTCTACAAACAGTAACAGGGCTTCTGGGCAGCCGGGAGTTGGGGGAAGGACATGTAAGGGGATGGGGAACAGTTTAACTCTACCTGGCTTGATCGTGGGAACCCAGACTGTAGGACTGGCTACCTAGACACCCCCAGGAGGCCAGGTGGGGTGCAGCAAGCTCTCAGCAGGGGTTACCGGGCACTAGCCTTTGCATGTCAGCAGCCAGCACACAAGGACTTCCACAGAGCAGGCACTGAGAGTCATGGCTCCATTCTTCGGCTATAGGAGAAAGGCCCAGAGGTGCTGACATGCAAACATCCAGCGACCCAGAGACATCTGTCAAATGCATGGACATATCTCAGGGGGAGGAGGTGACACAGTGCCTCCTGCCTTAAAGAGGCACATTGGAGCCAGACCAGGTGCAGAGAAGGCTCCCTTCCTCCCTCTGCGAAGCTGGAAAGAGGAACTTTCCAACAGTAAACACTCAGTGACTCACACCCTTGACCACCCGGGGCAGAGATCTCTGCTGTAGCCTCACAGCTCCCTCGGAGGGCAGTTTGGGTCAACAAGAGCAGGGAGGAGCCCAGGAGTAAGGCTCTACAGCCCAGGCTCCTTGGCCCAGAAAACACAGGGGCTTTGATGCCTGTGGAGAGCAGTGGCTCTTCCCGCAGGGTGCTGTGGCTGCTCCTGGGCAAGGCCCAGACTCCACATGCCTCAGTCTGGAGGCTGCTGTAGAGGTGGCACAGCTCAGGGTTTAAAGGAATGGCCTTGAAGTTTAGCAAAACCCCCAGGGCTGCTGCTGTCTAGGAGCTGTGTGAAGGTGGGCAGACGAGTTACCCCTTTCCAGCCTCAGTTTCCCGGTCTATAAAATGGAAGAGTATCATTATAATGGCCTGGTCTGTAATATCTGCTGTGCACTGGGGTTCTCAGAAGGTTCCCACTGGACCACAGCAAACTTAGCCCTCTCATCAGAAATTGCCTTCCTCCTCCGCGAGAGTCCCTCATTCCAGCCACACCTGAGACATAAATCACTCATGCAGATAATCCTTCCCAGTCACCCCCAGCAGGCTTTCACTGTGTCATCAAGCCGAAATAAAATCAGAAAAAACTCAGTGGCTCCCTTGTCTCAGGTCTTTCTGTCAAAACCCTAAGGCCATGCTTCTCAAGTGAGGGTATGCATACCCCTGGGGGCATATGGGGCTTTGCCAGGAATATATGAGACCACATTAAATATTGTGCCTTTGGTGTTGTGGGGGAGGGATGGGGTCTTGGAGGGGAGAGGGTATTAAACAGTTAAACTGAAAGGAATTTCAGACTCTATTTTTATATTAAAACAAACAGGGAATGTGCATTCACGTGAATGTTTATGATGAAGCAGTATTTCAAAAACAGATCAAGCTTTCAGTGGGTGTCCCCTTACCCCCAGGAGTTAAGGAAGGACCCCAGCAATTTTAAGGGCTCTTCATTACAAAGGCCTCTTGTGCAAAGGCTTAAGCAGTGAGTGGCAGCTGGGAATGTTCTTGGAACATGCTGGGGTCTTTCTGACTTACCCCATTCTCCCAGGAGCAGCATCTTGTCTCTGGAAGAGGTGACCCATACAGCCCCGTGCCGGGGAGGTAATCTGAGCTGACACCATCTCAAGATGGCAGAAGGCCAGGCTGGTTGTCCTGGAAGGAGGATGTAAGAGACCTGGGGGGAACCAGGCCTTGCCTCCACCCTCTCACCTCGCTTTCCCCTATGCTGAGAGCATACACCCAGCCAGAAGTTAGGGTTTGAGTCCCCCAACAGAGCTGGGAACAGCTGGCACTCAACTAATGTCCTATTGTTGCCCTCCCTGACAGCGCTGTCCCCTGGGGCTTCTAGCAACCCGAAGGGATTAAGAATGGCAGTGTGGATGTTTCAACAGAGCCCAGCTCCATCCCCTGTAAGGTGCAACAATATGGCCGTTATGCCCTCACACATATCCATGGCAACTGACACAGTGAGAGCCGAGGCCCTGAGGTCATGAAGGTGATTAAGCACACTCTTAGTGATTTCCTCTTCAGTTCCTTTTTCCAGGTATCCTGAGCCCAACAAAGGTCCTATCCAGGAGGTGCAGGAACAGAAGTGCCTGAAACCATGGCCCAGGTGGATCCCCAGAACAGGTTGGGTGCAGTGTCTCTTCTCTGCAGCTTGACTGAGGAGGCTCATGCCCCCCAGATGCTGAGCATGAACTTGGAGAGTGAGGATGAGGATGGTGGGGAGACAGGAGACAGAGGGGGCAGCAGTAACCTTGATCACCAGCTTCCTCCAAGAGGCAGCTCCCAAGTGACAAATGACCATCCCAGTTTGCCATGGCAGCACGCACCTGGCAAGGAGGAAGAGAAATTTTCTGACTCCGTTAGTGCTGAGGGTTTTGGGGGAAACCTAATGCCGATGCCTGGGAAGAAGGCCAGCTGGGGAAGAGATGCGTCAAAGATCCCCCAGACCCAGGCCTTGCCAGGGGCAAATGCGGCTCCAGGTACCCTCCCCAGCAGCCTCTCACACAAGTTAAGTCAGAGGCAACCTCTTAGAGTCATGTTAGCTACTGATGGTGATGATGAAGACTTGAGGGCAAACCCGCACACCACCACGATCGTCCCATCCAGCTTGCCTGGTACCGGAAGGTACTTCTGCGCACAGAAAGGTGTAGGCACATCTCCAGACAATTCCTCTCCCGTGTGTTTCCCCAAGCCTGGGGGCAGCTGGAACCTTTCCACGCTGGAGACGCACACACCAGCCCAGAGATCGGCCACCTCTGCCAACATGGCAGCGGCTGCGATGCCCAAAACACAGACAAGAGGCTGGAAGGATCAGAACCCCTCAGGCACAGGTCAGGGGGCCCAAGGGGAGGCAATTGCCTACAAGTGCTTGCGGGACGGGAGGGCCTTGCAAAAGCCCAGCAAGCCGCTGAACCCAGCCCAAACTCGGGGCAGCAAGCCTTACGCTTGCGAGCTGTGCGGGAAGGCTTACTCCCACCGCGGCACGCTGCAGCAGCACCGGCGCCTGCACACTGGTGAGCGACCCTACCGGTGCCCCTTCTGCGACAAGGCCTACACGTGGTCCTCTGATCACCGCAAGCACCTCCGCACCCACACCGGCGAGAAACCCTACCGGTGCCCGGACTGCGGCAAGGCCTTTGTGCGCTCCTCAGATCTGCGCAAACACCAGCGCAACATGCACAGCAACGACAAGCCTTTTCCGTGCACTCAGTGTGGCCTGACCTTCAACAAGCCACTGTCGCTGCTGCGCCACCAGCGCACGCACCTGGGCGAGAAGCCCTTCCGCTGCCCCGCCTGCGACCGGGAGTTCGCAGTGGCCAGCCGGATGATGGAGCACCAGCGCGTGCACTCCGGGGAGCGGCCCTTCCCCTGCCCCACCTGTGGCAAGTGCTTCACCAAATCCTCCAACCTGCTGGAGCACCAGACGCTGCACACCGGCCAGCGGCCCTTCAAGTGCGCAGATTGCGGGGTGGCCTTCGCACAGCCCTCACGCCTTGTGCGCCACCAGCGCATCCACACTGGCGAGAGGCCCTTTCCCTGTGCGCAGTGTGGCCAGGCCTTTGCCCGCTCCTCCACCCTGAAGAGGCACCAACAGATCCACTCTGGGGAGAAGGGCTTCCTCTGTGCTGAGTGCGGCAGGGCCTTTCGCATTGCTTCTGAGCTGGCGCAGCACATCCGCGTGCACAACGGCGAGAGACCCTATCAGTGTGAAGACTGCGGCCAGGCCTTCACCAGGTCCAATCACCTCCAGCGACACCAAGCCAAGCACAGGTGCAAGAAGGAGCCCATTCTTGTTTGCTCTGACGAGTGAAGGATCCACCAGAAAACTCTCAGGGAAGGTGAAGACACTCTTAACCTCAGTGCCTGGAGCCCTCCTCCGTGAATGAGCTGCTTACACGATGTTGCCAACTAGTCTCTCCTCCTTGGAGGTCACCAACCATGTGGTGGTGCCTTTGATTTGCTACTTGACCTCTCTGGTGCACAACAACTGGAGGCTTGCTTTCTTTTGCATCTCAGAGGCCGTATTTAATTAGAAAAGTATAAGACAAAGTAGGGAGAGCAGCTCTCGACGCCACCCCCTTGCTTGCAGGATCTCAAATCAATTGGAAATTATAGAATTATAGGATGGATCCTATCTTGGGCACAGGAAGGGAAAAAATGGTCATGTCCTGTCCTTAAAGTCACAAGCTTTAAGACACAGAGCCGTGTTTACACGCATAAAGAAAACCACAGAACATTCTCTGTCATAGAGAATATCTATCTTCCAAAGCTACAAAGCTCCACCCAGAATAACTCAGATTCAGCCAGCTAGCCCATCTTTTTTTCCTTTCCTACGGAAATGACTTTACCCTTGGGGGATGTCTTTATAAGTTTTGGCTTTGAAGTAAAGACCTTTAACATAAAGACAAGAGAGATTTATGACCCATGTTTAGGAGCCAGTTACTCTGAGGTCCGGAACAGCCTGAGCACCTGCTGAGGAAGTCCGTTCCTCTTCACAGCGGCTCTGGTAACTGGAGCTAACCTGACTCTCACCCACAAATGCACATGTGCCTCCTCTCTGGACACCTCTTTTCCTTTCCCCACCCGGACAGGAATATTAAGTAATAATATTAAGTAAATATTAAGTAATATTCACCAAGGAATCATCCCACTTATGTATAAATTTCTCCATTTGGGCTTAATATGGTTCAGGAAAACTTTCAGTTCATTTAAACTTTCCAGGATCACGAACTCTGATTTCAAGTAAATAACACAAAGTAACCCCTTGCTGAACTGCTTGTTTACTTGGCTGTGTTTCAAAGTCCTTAGAACCAGGTTGAAAATCTATGTGACTCACAGTTACGCTCTAGTGAGCTTACTGGAAATTTGTTTTACCAACAAGCATTCTTAATATGTATCGATACATGCATTGATTTTATGCAGTTTCAAGTCAGTGGTTCTTCGCTTACACCTCAACTATGAGGAATCCATGACTTCAGAGGAAGAAATGATAGTCTTTATTGAGGATATCTTTAATATATTCCTAAAATTACCACCAAAGGGTGCCAAATCTAAATTTCTTTTGGATGATACCTGATTCAAATCCAGCGTGACTACTAAGTAGCATTCACATATCTGATACAAAGAGAAGTGATATGTGTTGACATGCTTTCTTTGGTAAAGGTAACCTTAGGGCAAGAGATCTGACTACATGAATGGAGGTTTTCTATGTTAAATCCCTTAAATACAGCTATATGTCCAAATGAGTTAACTTATTGTCACAAGACTGAGAGGCACCCAGGGATCCCTAACTGTTAAGGGGTGCATATTTAAAGGGGCCCAGCCATCTACGACACAAAGCAAAGGAAGCAGACTCCTATTGTGAAAGATCTTTAAAAGAATGAGTGTGTACAGGGAGAGAAGAAAGGCTATTAACCCCCCAAATTACCCTTTTCCTCATGGGCAAATGCCCAAACAGTGTTGGCAGGATTGCTGGTGCTGGAAAATTTGACACAAGTCTAAGGTTGCTTTTAACAGGGCATCATAAGGAAGGAGTTAGGCAGGTCCCCAAATGTGGGGACTGAGGAGAGATTTAGAATTCAAAATATACCAAATAATCCATCATGAAGTCTGAACAGTCGCTGTCATCATCTCTGCCGAGAACTAGGAGCAGCCCTTCCACCATGTGTGTCTCACGCACATGTCTCTTCCAAGTATTTCTTCCAAATGTCTCTCCTTCATGTGTCTGTTCTTAGCCTCCTCAGAAATATCAGGGTACAAGTCAGAGCTGAAAAACAATGTCCCAACCCACATGTGTTCACTAACTCCACCCCTAGGTCCTAGCAACCCCCCCACTCCATTCAGGAAGTCAGATTTATGGCATGCCAAGGTGACTGCATGTAAATGGGGCCAGGAAAAATGTCACCTCCCCTTCATTGAGGTGTATCTGTAACAATCTGGTTCTGGGTCTGGCACAAGAGAAGTGGCTATGTTCTTAGTCCATCCCCATCATCTATCAGGGACAGGAAGTTGGGCTTCAGCTTTAGCTTATGCATTGGCAAAACCAGAATTATAATAATGGGGTAATAGAAGGAGTCATCCTAGCAGAAGAAATTTGATCATTGCAAAGGCATTAAATTGGTAGAGAAGTCATAAGAATCAACCATAACCTTGTGACTATGAACAGAGTAAAAGCTAATATTTTTTTTCTGGGTAAGCAAGGAAATATTTGAAGACTGGAGTTATGCTCTTTCTTTGTATTCTTTTTTAAATGATGGTTGTTAGTACAGTTTTTAGTAGTTTAAGGTTTTGGTTTGGTTCTATAACTTTTTTGAGACAGTTCTTAGAATGACATAGAAATTATGTGACCTGTTAGCCTTAACACTTGCTGAACTCTAGCCTTGAATATTGACACAGGTATGCAGTGCATCTTGGAACCTAATTTTAGAGCTTATCGTGTGCTCTCATGCACAGCCAGGTTGGGACCAGAGGTGATGATTAAATTCTATCATTAGTAAACAGATGATATAAGGGTAAGAAAAACAGACAATTTGAATGATACCACAATAGATCTACTAGAATACTTTCTGACTTGGATATGGTGGATTCAAATTAACAAGTAGGTCTTGATGAGGTCCTATAATCTCATTTCTACAGATGAAATGTAGATTCTAGGTATAGATTTCAAGTGGGTTTCCCACTGAGTAGAGAGTGAAAATACTTCTTGTTAGTAGGCAGAAAAACTAGATTACCTTTGTGCTGGATTTAGAACTGTACAATATATTTCTGGAATGTAAAGGAATAGAATGTAATTATGACATAACAGTGATACTGCTATTAGATATTTATCCAAATAATATGTAAACTCTAATACAAAAAGATTTATCTTCACCTATGTATAATGCATTACTGTCCATAATTGCCGAGTCGTGGAATCAACCTAAGTGCCCTTCAACAGATTTGGAATATATACTCAACAAAATACTACACAATTGTGAAAAAAGATGAAATAGTGGCATTTGAGATAAAATGGATGGGCCTTGAGTGATTATGTTAGGTGAAATAAGTCAAAAAGTGAGTTTCACTCACCTGTGGAATATAAATAACAAAAAATTATACAGTCAAAATACAGTAGGAATAAATCTTGAACTCAGTGAAAAAATATAATGCTTAACAGAAGGAATAGGGGAGAGGAAGAAGGGGGTGGGAGAAGGAGGTAGATAGGATATTGGTATGGTGGTTTGTGGTGGGTAAATGGAAATGTGCACATAGGGAAGAACAAAAATGTAACCCCAAAAATTAAAATAAAAATTGAAAAAAGATTTTTAAAAAGAATGAATATACGATCACCTTGCTCTTTAAAAATATTTAAATATTAATGATTGTAACTGAGAGTTTTCGAATAAGCACAGACTATTTTATACCACCAATATTTTTTTTAAGGTTTATTTATTTATATAAGAACTGGGGTACAGGCCAGCGGTGTGGGAGGTGAGAGGATTCACCAGAGACAGAATAGGGAACAGAACAGGCATACTGACTGAAGTAAACTGTTGAGGGGAGCAGCGGGCGAGACAGGAGAGGTCTGCTCCGTGTGGGTATTTCCTTGGCCCGCTGGGAATCAAACCCGCGTTGCAGAGGATGTGGACAACTTCACAGCGCTGCGCTCAACCCATTGCGCCACAGGGGAGGCCCTCACCAAAAAAAAAAAAAAAATAACTTAAAAAAGCATTACAACATAATACATCGACTATATAATATATATAATGTATTGAACATATAATATAATGAAGAGAAACTCATCAATCCTGCAGTACCTATCACATAATCAAGTTACACTTTCAGGAAAATTGTCTTACTCTTTTCTGCAAATGTCTTGCTGAGTAGATACTAGGGGGAAGCAATCGCCTCGCTGTAGTCAAAAGTCACTGGACTAGAGCATGGGGCACAAGTGGATGGCAACAATAAGTGTACTGAGCAAGAAAAGCCAGCTGTAAGGTAACTTGGCATAAATTCTACCTGAAAAAGTCTGTCTGTCCAAAGTGGAGACACTTGATTTCTCTTTTTCTAATAGAATCAGTGCTAGAATACAGGTTATCCTGACTCATATTTTTACCCCATATAATACTGAGCTACTTTTCTATAAATACATTGCATATCACAGCAGACAATCTTATGTCCCTGTTATGTAATTAGAAAGCAGAATAGGGGGCCTCCCTGGTGGCGCAAGGGGCTAAGAAACAACCTATGAAGCTATCTGTAGCCACTGCGGCATGAGTTCGATCCCTGGCCAGGGAGTTACCCACATGGTGCAACCGACCTCTCCTCACTTGCCCACTGCTCCCCTCGGCAGTGTATTTCAGTCAGTCTGCCTGTTATGTTTCCCACTCTGTCTCTGGTGAGTCCTCTCACCTCTCACACCTCTGGCCTGTACCCCAGTTCTTGTATGCATAAATAAATAAATCCTTTAAAAAAAAAAAAAAGAAAGCAGAATAGGGCCTTCTTTGTGATAAAAAATTGAAAATTCCCCCTTGGACTAACGCTGTTTTCATAGTTTAGTTTGCCAAAACTCACTTAGATAGACCCAGTAAAAATGCTCATTTCTAAGTTTCTACTAAATAACAATTATCCTGGTGTATTTACAAGAGACTACAAATATCTGGATCCACATCATTTAGATAATAATGATAACAGTTCACACTACATAGTGTTATTGGATTCTGGAGCTGGAGCTCTCTGAGAAATAGAAATAATGGAGACTTTAGTCCCACAGCTATCAAGCAAGAGTTTATAAAAGCTTACACAATTCAGCATGAGGGGATCAGCATCGGGTACAGGATCTGTATTACTGCTTCTTGAAAAAGAGGTGGAGGCTCTATTTAAGTAGTTTTAACTCAGCATAATTAAAGGTTTGAGGTCCTTTCTTTGTTCTTCTTTCCATGAGGTCTTCCATCTCTTGAGCTTTTAATTTCCTTGTTCCTGGGATCTCTTGTTTTGTCTTGATGAATTCCAACCTAAAGATGTTGTTAGCAAAGAGGGTTTGTTAGTGGTGAGAACTTTATTTCATCTAAAGTGTGTGTTGGAGAGAGCTTCCTTCTTAGAGATAGGGAGTGTCACTATCAGAGTGTGGGTGGATGATCTTGCCTTGCATTTTCAGTGGAGAAAATGCTACTTTCTATTTTATAATAACATGATCAGCCTCAGCCTGAGTTAATGACCAGTATCAGGGAGGATCCCAAAACTCACAAGACCCTATCTCCTGCTTAATACAACAGTACCCATTGTGTTAGAAACTGTTCTATGTGATTTACATATATTGATTTTATTTTTTTAAAGCAAACTTATGGTGATTATTATCCCCATTTTAAATATGAGGAAATCAAGAAACAAAAAAGTACTCAGAGTGTTATAGCTAGAAAGTAGTGTTACAGGGCATCTCCAGGGGAAATGGCATGACTTGGTTGTGAGTCTTCATCCACACACTTAAAAACTCGGGACAAGACCCAAAAGCAGACACACAGAGGGAAAAATTTTGAAAAGGTTTATTTACAAGGAGAATGGGAAGAGGGAGTAGAGAGAGAGAATGGTTAATTGATCAACATGTCCTACCAGTACCACCATCTGAGCTGAGACACCAGGGTTTTAGTTGACAGCCTGAAAAGCAAGAGAGGCCAAGCCTACATGTATTCAGTATAAACCAAGCAGCACTACCCCCATTCAGGAAGTCAGAGTCACGACATGCTGGGAATTGTAGTCTTTGGCACCTGAGAGCTCTTCAGATGGAGATGGTAATGGAATCTGTGAAAAACATCAGGGGGTAGAGTTCATTCAGGGTGTCACTCACTGGCTCAGTTTATTCCTTCCTCCAGTAGTATCAAACAAATGATTTAGATTTGCTGCCTTCAGAGACTCTGTTATTTACTACTGAGCTAACCACCTCTGTTCGGTATATAGTAGAATACTTTGCAATACTTGATGACATGCTTTTTAAGAGTCGATGATCATAATTTCAAGAGGATAAAAAGGTTGAAATGCAGCATAGTGGGAAACAGGACATGGCTCGAAAGACCTGTGAATTACTTAACGGGTCTGGGAGAGCCTCGGTTGGCAGCTCTAAACCATTAATTTTATTTGAAAAATAGCAAAATTCACAAATTTAGAGGTCTAATTAGCTTTTTAATGATTCATGCATCAGGTAGCATCTTCAAGAGCTAACACAAAATAGAAGGATTTTATGGACACAAAAATATCCAGAAAGATGTCATTATAAGTGGAATCTAAAATAATCAAACTTATAGAAACAGAATAGAATGGTGGTTACGAAACTGGGGGTGGGTGGAGGAACTGGGGAGATGGTGATACGAAAGGGGAGACATTGGCCAGTGGATACAAATTTTTTATTATAAGATGAATAAGGTCTGAAGACCTAATGTAAAACATGGTAAATATAGTTGAAAACAATATTGAATGACTAAAGTATTCTAAGAAAGTGGAACTTAAATGTTTTCATCAAAATAAAAGGTGAATATGTGAGGTGATAGGTGTATAACTAGATGGGTGGAAAATCCCTTCACAATGTTTTTGTATCACCTCATCACCATGTACAGTTTAAATATCTTACAATTTCATTTCAAACATACCATAACAAAGCTGAATTTTTTAATAAAAACTGTTGAAATAAAAAATATGCCAACAAATTTTTTGACAATCCCCCCATCAAGAGGTGGAGTGGATATCATGAGTAGACTTATAGAAAGGCCCTTGTGGCAAGTTGCTGAAATCAGCCAATAGCCCCATCAGTGAGTTTGTAGGGATCCCTCCCTCCAGATGACTGCAAACCTGGCTGCTGCTCCACTGAAACCTCATGAGAAACCTGAAGCCAGAAACTTCCAGCTAAGCTGCTTCCAAATTCCTGAACCTTGAAAACTGAAATAATAAATGTGTTTAAGCTGCTGAGTTTGGGTTGGTAATCTGTGATGCAACAATAGCTAACTATGATAACAGACAGCGGCTTGCTCCTAATGAGGAAGAGCAGTCACTAGATGTCACCGTGAGCCCTGATTTCTGCCCTAAGGAATTAAAAGAGAATTGGAGCATATCTCTGTTTCCAATTGCTACATCCTCCCACTCCTCACTCCTGCATACCCCAAACCTCCATCTCTACAGCTCTCCATATCCCCTCTCACCCCCTTGCATGGTCAATATAAAGCTATTTAGGTCGGTTGTCAGACAGCTCTTCTATTCACCTACCCCACTTTCAAGTGAACCATCCTAGCTCTAGTGCCCAGGGAGAGGGACCCTCTGGGAAGGGGGGGAAGAAGAACTGTGGGAAGTTTCTCTACATTTGTTATACACTGATAATCCTGTTAATTTCTTCTTCTTCTTTTTTTTTCTTTATGGCAATTCCTTCCCCATGGGATAAGGGAATCAATGTGAGGTTTCTCCCAAATCTGAAATGTTCTAGAATTTGGAACATAACTCTATGAAGGAGTATTTTATCCCCATTTTGCATATAAGGAAACAAAGGAGCAGAAAGATTAAGCAACCGTCCAACTCAAAATTTCTAGTCACATTTGCAAAGCCCCCTTTTCCCCAGAAGATTAACACTTACAGTTTCCAGAGATTAGGATGTGGTATCTTTAGATGGCTATTTTTCAGCTGACTACAACACAACAAATTGTAACAGGCGGCATCTCACAACTGTGAATATCAAGTGATAATCACTTATTTTCATTCAAGTAGCTGAAGGGACAATAAAAATATAATTTTTCCTGTCACTTTTTTTTTTAAGATTTATTTATTTATGCATGTAAGAGCTGTGGTGCAGGCCAGAGGTGCAAGGGGTGTATGAGAGGGTTCACCAGAGACAGTGGGGAACAGAACAGGCAGATCTACTGAAATACACTGCTGAGGGGAGCAGCAGGCAAGATAGGAGAGCTCCCTGGCCAGCTGGGTGAGCTCCCTGGTCAGGGTTCGAACTCATGCTGCAGTGGTTCCCACAGCTTCATAGTGCTGAGACTTAACCCCTAGCACCACCAGGGAGGCTTGCCTGTCACATTAAAGAAATATTTCCTGTCACTTAATGGAGCTACAGTGCACCTTAGAGATCATGTATATTGCAGCAAACAAACTGCAAATGTCCAAGGAGAAAAGAAAACATCCGTGAGAAGTCCAAGAAAATCTAAGCAACTCTACCATATAAAAGGTAACAAAATACACACAACAGCTAAATGCAATCACTGACCTGATCAGAAAAAAAAATTGCTAGAAAGAACTTATTGGGGAAAAGTGATGAAATTTTATAGCTCTATGTCAATGTTACATTCTCTGAATTTGAAATTTGTACCAGTATTGCATAAGAAAATGACTTTGTTCTTGGGAGCTACGTATGGATTTCTTAGGACAGACAAGTCATAATGTCCACAACCTGTTTTGCAAATGTTTCAGGAAAAATATGTTAATAAAATATAAATATATATAAAGGGAATGAGAGGAAGTAGAAAGAAGAGAACTAGGGAAAGAGAGGGAAAACAAATGTTGTGAAGTATTACTCATTGGTGAATCTAAATGAAACTTATGCTACAGGTCATTGTACCATTCCAGTAACTTTTCTGCTGGTTTGAAATTTTTCTCAACATAAAATGTTAAAACTAATTATCATGTAAAAGTTAGGAAGGATGTAGACAAGTGGAAAGTTTTGGACTCCGCTAGGTAGAAAGCAAAGTAGTATAGTTATCTGGATAATAATGTAATAATACTAATGTGATATTATACTGTATCTGCATATTAATATAACAATATAAGTAATATAACAGCAATAAAGATATGATAAACAATGAACATGTCTATATCCTATAATCCAGATATTCAAATGGTATTAGAAGCAAAAATAATAGAACTTTGTATTTATTTCACCTGCTAAGAAAAATATTCACATTTTATAATGGATATTAATAGTAGTATGATGGGACATTGATATATTTATAAATAAAGAAGGAAATATTGGGAATAGACAGTCAAATTTTGTATTGATAGGGCAGCTTAATCAGTAAAGTAGAAAACCACTGCTCTTAAGAAAATCAAACATGCAGGTTTCCCTGCTCTCCACTCTGTCTCTCAACCCCCCACCTCCATACCTCTGGCCTACACCCCATCTCTTGTATGCATAAAATAAATAAATCTTAAAAAAAGAGAATCAAACATCCATAAGGAAATATGTATATATAACTACAACATGATTTGCAATAGCAAAAAATTTGGAACATCCTAAATGTCCATCAGTAAAAGAAAAGATAAACTGTTTTATCAGTATGATGGGATATTAAATAGCACATAAAAGGAATGAAAAGAGTTTTAAGTATCTACATGGTAGATTTAGACAATGTTGAGTGAATACAGCAAATTGCAGTACAATAAAGAAACACTGCTAAACAGTACGCATTCTGTGAGGCACATACCTGGGTGCTTGCTCTATTATTCTTTGACATTTTCTGTTACTTTTTTCCCAAGAAGCAAAACAGACATGATTTTTTTTTTTCTCTGATAACTTGCAATTCCTATACATTAAGCACCTGACAAGTCAGATGTGTTCCTACAAATTGCCACGTGTCTCAGCTTATGCCTACACAAATGCAACTTTAAATCAGAGCTTCCAAAAGAAATGCTTATCAACAGAAAATCCATGTGTCTTATTTTCAAAATACGTGTTCTTAATTTTATAGAAATGTAAACTTATCACTGCTGAATATCTAATTATCACTTATGGTTCCATATATTCCAGATATTCTGCAATGATAAGTTGTTGGTCATTTAAGCAAGGATTTCCAGGATACTGGAAATTCTCTCCAAGATTAAAAAATAACACCAAAGTTGTATGTTGCTGAGTCATATATATTAAAGTTCATTACAACTTTTATATAAAATTATAAAGGTCTTTTTAATGGCTCACTTGGCTCAATAGTTCAAGTTATGCCTATATATTGAAAGAACTGTCAGTATTCAGGGACTAACTAATTTAGATTTGTGTAATATTTGACTTCCTCATAGCATTTTCGTTTGCACCTGTGCCTATTCTATCTCTATTACAGAGAAAGAGTGGTAAAGCTTAATATTGGTCTATTTAACTATTTTGGGGAAGAATGAATTACGCTTGAGTGATTAAAAAACAACAGACACTATTCATTTAAAGGAGACTCAAGGATTACCCCCAATGTTTCACTGTAGGAACTTCCTTTCACTCTCATTTGCATTAATGTTTAGGAGATGTTTCCCATATTATTGCTGCCCAAAAATCTGTAGGACAAAAATTTCCAAGGGCAATCCATGTTCTTTCCAATAGACCTGTCCATTATTTTAAGTGCTGAGCTGGAAAAGCTGGGGAGTGGGAAGATAAGATATCTGTTTGAAGGAGTTTGTTAGGCACTCCTCTTACCATTATTTTTTTTTAATGTGTGCAGGATCCATAGTAGTGTCTCTTTTCTATCCTTACATTAGATATTTGGTTTTCTTTTTCTTTCCCTGAAAAGTCTCATCAAAGGCTTATCAAATTTTATTAGTCCCTTTTTTATTTTTGGAAATCTATTTTTTATGTTTGTTGATTATCTGCTATATCTGTTTTTTATCTCATTATTTTCTTTTCTTTTTTTTTTTTTTTAAAGGTTAACAAAAGGTTTATTTACAAGGGAAGGGGAATGAGGAAATGTACAACTCAGGGAGAAAAGAGGGAGAGAAATTCTTTTTTTCTTTTTCTTTTTCAAAGATGTGTTTATACATGCTGGGGTACAGGACAGAGATGTAGGGGGTGAGAGGATTCACTAGAGACAGAGTGGGGGAACAGAACAGGCAGGCTGAGTGAAATACACTGCTGAGGGGAGCAGCGGGTGAGATAGGAGAGGTCTGCTTCGCCATGTGGGTTTCTCCCTGGCCATCCCAGGACTGAACTCTGGCTGCAGAGGCTGCAGATTGCTTCATAGTGTGGTGCTTAACCCCTTGTGCCACCAGGGAGGCCTGGGAGATAAATTCTTAAATGTGTCCTACCTGTTCTGCTGACCTGGAATCCCAAATGACCCACTGTGACCAAACCTTCCTGGCCAAGAGCACAAGCCAAATGTGCCAGATCCCACTAACATGGCTGGTTTTTGTTTACAAACAGAGAAAATGGCTGCTTAACTCCACCCTTAGGTCCTCGCAACTTCCCTTCCCTTCCCCCCTTTCACTTTTTGCCACCATTTCCAGGGTGTTGAAGATCAAATGTATGGATGCTGGAGTATAGTCTCAGATGAAAATTTTTCTCAGGGTTCCCATTGGAAAGCAAACCAGTCTCTCCAGGTATTGTCCATTGTGGAAAGCAAAAGTCCTCCATTCCTGGGAAATAGTTTATCAGATCAAGCCAAAACAAAAAACAAAAAATCATACACACACACACACATCTGGAGGCATTAACCAAAACAAAACAGCAAAGATATCAAATCACAGGAAAGAATATTAAAATTGTTTCAATTTATGCAAAAATAGGTTTTCTCAACTTTGATCCCAAATTGTTTCAACAGCGTAGCAAAAGTTTGCAAACCAAATCTACTTTTAAACCATAGTACCTATTTTTGCATAAAATCACAGGGCAGAATAACTAAAACAGCAATTTTAGCTGCTTTGTTGGACTACTCCATAAAGGACCATAGTGAATTCTTGACATCTGGTCCAGGTAGGCTTCAAGAACAAAGTTGGTCTCATCAGACCCCACCTGAGCTTCCTCTTCTCAAGGGTACCAGGGCTTTTTCTTTTTTCAGGTTGTCCTGCCCATGGAGGCAGCTTCCTCACCTCCCTTGGAGGTCTCTGGAACCTACGGACAAAGCAACAGGTTCTCCTCTTCTTCGTTCAGCTCTGTTTCAACTTCCTGGAAGCTTCCATTCAAAGCCACACAATGACACTCATGTCCAATTGTTTTAGTTTAAGCAGACAAAATCCCTATGGAAGTTATGCAAAAATAGACTCTGAG